ATAATACCTCTTATTCTTCTACGTTTGTAAGTTACCTACAATCATCTCTCCAATTCTATGATTTCTACAATTTATAATTTAAATAAATTGTATATAATAAATTTTTACTAAAATAACCGTTTACCTCGTAATCCTCATCCTGCATATAATAAATGGTACTTGTGACACAATTAGATATAACATCTTTAAAGATTTTCACTATTATTTGGAAACTATAAGATGATCATACATATTATCATACAAATAAATTACTTACCTCTTTCTTTCTTCCTTATTCCTTACATTTTCTTTCTTGTCCTTCCTTTACTATTCCTTACTCTCACAGAATTTTCTCTCAATTAATTTGTGTTTTGCTCACATGATCCACGAGTCAAGCTTCCCATTTCCTTCAGCACATAGAACCGAACGCTTCCCTACATTTGGATGAAATCTTCCTTAGGAACTTTTTCTACTATTCCGAGTTTAATAAAATAACTGAAGAAACTACATTGGTTACCTTGATTTGTTTCTTTCCTTCTATTTCTCTTTTTCCTCTTCTTTAACCAAAATTCTTTACTGCAATTCTGATCGCAAAGCCCACTCCAAAACATATTTGTTCCAAGCAACAATCTCTTAAAATTGTTTGTTGCCTTTGCTTAAGCCGAATGCTCAGTTTCCTATATTCGAACGCACACTCTGATACAGTTCTTCTCCAGATATTTCTTCAGATCTGCTCTTTACTTCTATTCGTCTCTAATGCTCACGCCACTATATATCCGTAATCCCTCCCAGTCTTCCCCTCTGTTTGCTTGCGTGAAAACTGATTGGAAAAAGGAATGGATAAGAGGCCCATAATAACTGCTCTCATTCTCGTCCAAAAGAAACACCTCTTCAGGATTTAATATTGAACTTACGTAAAGATATTTAATATTTTACTGAATACTAATATAAAAATTTATTTAACAAAGATTAATTGTTAAGTAATTATGAATTTATTTAAGAGTGTATTATAATTTAACATTTTAATTACTTATTTAAATTTGAAAAGAAATAATGTTTTGAATTTATATTACATGAAATTTTAGATATTATAGGGTGCACTCTATCAGTCAATATGCACACAAGCATTCTATATAACTCATTTTATTTGTATTTTTTTGAATCAGTTCATATTGTTATATCATAAGCATTATATAACTTGTGCTACGTGATTGTAATATGATAGAAAATTCATGTCATTCAATTTAATATGCATAATTATTTATAATAGAGATGAAGCATGAATAATATGTAATAACACTTTATGAGTAATTATCAATAATAAAGGATGCATCAGATTTAGAAGAATCAATGTGATTACTATAATATAGAAATCTGATTACTCTCTTGAATTTAGATGACGGGCTTTTGCCCCTTTTTAATTCTTATTCCGACTCAGATTATTGAGCACATATAACTTTGTAAGATTACCATGACTTATATATATCTAAAAATATCTCTCTAATTAACTCTCATTTTTTATTAAAGAAAATATCTTTAATTCTTTCCTTTTTTTATTTAAATATTTAAATTATATTCAAAC